CTACCTGGGTTACCTACCTAGGGGTTACCCGGCCTGGTCCTATTAATTAGGCCGCTATAGCAGCATATTCCATCCTTTGACACGTGTTACAGTCGGCACAGTGAGAATAACCGAGGTTTTCGAGCCAACATATAAGTACCAAATACTATGGAAGACCGCACTAAGTAGTATATTAGAGCCTCTCTCTCTTTCAGACAAAGGTCCAGCCGAAGTTCACTAGACATGGATATTGGGTGTACGGATCCTCAAAGAAGAGAGAATGTTTCGATGGGTTCCCGGGACTTGGAATCCTTGGCAGTCACTGAACCAATTCGTGGGTTGGAGATTTGTACATAGATTTGTAGATTGGTCGAATATTTAGATTGTTAGATTGGTTAGATTTCCAGATACTATGTAAAAAAAGATGTGATAGAACGAGGATCCATAGATGTGCTCAATAGCTCCAATAACTATGACGTCAAAAAGCGGATTCTAGAACAGAACTTGGAAGGTAGAGGAGGCATTCAGCTCTTGCATCCTTTGGAATGGAAAACTTCTTCTAAATCAAGACGGACTTCGTGTTCAATCCAGTGTAGTGCGCGGAGGGAGATACCCAAATCGGTTAAGGGTCGTGAGCTGCCGGCGACACATACCATAGTAAAAAAAAAAAAAGAATTAAAGTAGGTACCTAACTTTAGTAGACTTACGGAAATTGCCCAGGTGAGCGGAGAAGGCGGGACTCACTAATATTGGGCGGGGAGGGGAGGAACGAGACGGGCAGACGGGATACCTAGTAATTTAGTATGAGAAAAGTGCGATAGATGGAGAGAAGTAAACGTAATCAACGTATGACATTGACGATATGATACACACACATCATGGAAAGAGCAAATTGCACAAGTGGACGGCAACTGCCAACATTCTTACACACATGCCTACCTTTCAATGCTATTAATACACTATGTACATATTATCAACATTGAGATACGATCAATTATACTTTCACTACATCATACGAGTAGTATTCTTCAAGCCACATAAAGCGCGTCAATGCACGTGATGCTGGTAGCACAGCGGGAATCTCCATTACTCTCTTTTAATCAATCCAATCATTTCAATATTTAAAAATAAATACGGGGGTCGATCTCTTGCCAAATCCCCAGTTGTCCCCAGTTGTCAATCTCTAATCTCCTTCGTTGGGGAATTTATACGCTGATCATGCTACCTAAATCAACATCAGTAACTACACTACCTACTACGTAGTAAACCATAGTCATCTACTTAGCTGTCTGCCAAGTTATTATTCTTTTGCTGCTGACTATCACAGTTCTCATGAAGCCATTTCTCCGTGCTTACCTAGGGTATGTCATTTACCGCTATACGACATGATATGTTCTTTTGCTCTTTTCTGTTTTAATTCGCTCTCGTCGTTTCGAGGTTCGCGAAAAATGTCCTGGGGGTCCTGTAGCCTGGTAGATATGTCGTTCTCTTTAGACGCCACGAAGCGTCGGCTGCAGTCAACCCACCGCGACATCTGGTTACCTAGTAGGTACCTCCTAGACACGCAAGTCTTTGCCATGTTTGATGTTTCTCGCGTGGGCTCCCGTGGATTCTAGCCAGGCTAGTGAGAAAGTGTTGCCATCACTCAGCGCTTGCTCCTCTTCGTACGCGAAATATCTACATGCTATATGCCGATCGTTTTATATGAAAGATTAAAAGGGCCACCGCAGAAAGCAGCGGCGTTAAGCTAGTTGCTCCCGATGGTGTTAGTTTCTTCAGCTGGCCGCTTGGGATCAACTGTGGTTGAAGTAGATCCAAATTGCGCTAACCAAGCGAGGCCTCCCCAAGAACGGTACCACCGTTTACCTAGCGGTAACCAACGGCTGCTAAGGGATTGTAGGGGGTATTTTTATAGCGTAGCGGTAACGATGGACGAAGTGCGTGGAATATGACATCAAAATGGTCTTTTGTTGTGCATTACTATTATAGTAAACCCGAGGGACGGGTACAAGTCCCGTAGTGACATATTCTATCCACCGAATCTACGATGGAGAATCTACGTCCGATGTCCTCCATGTGCCCTTTTTCTTTTTTTAGATAGCGTTCATGAATGTAACTTTTTCGAATAGGGGTAGATACATTCTTAGCTTCTTTGGTATGACTTGTTATGTAGGTTAGGTAGATAGCCCCGGAGGTATGCATGTCTAGACGATTTGAAAGACAGGCTGAACCATACCGTAGCCATTGTCAATGTAACGAAACTGCCGTGCCAGGTTTTTAAGCGATTAAGAAGTCTCGATATTTTGTATGATACTATAGTTACAGTGATATCATCAGATGCTTCGGCGGTTAGCAAACCGAAGAAAATATAGGTTAGATTTCTTGCTCTGAGTACCAGCTTTTGTCCACCTGGGCAGCCAGGAAGTAACTTATAATAGATACCCGAGAAATCAACTCGTATTTTATTAAACATAATCAATACACACCTAGTCAAATATATAGGTACTGATGACTCTTTTGTTGGTAACGAAGCATGGTATTAGATTGAGGGATACTACTTGAACCATAAATACTAGGTATCAAAGCATGGCTAACAATTCTTCAACCACATTGTTACTATATTTATTCTCGTACTCTCAAGATCATGAGAAGTGGACTAAATACCTGACCATGTAGGTACCAGGTAAATAACCAACATAATAATTATTCATCAGCAGACGGACTACCTAGTAGTACAACGTCTCCAACGATATCGGATGTAGAGGTCAGATAAGCGCTGCCAGGCCATCATTGAGTGGTCACCACCTCCCTCTTAAGTACCCCCCTTCCCCCTTTTTAGAGTTACGCGAATGATTATACCGAGCGATAATACTTATATGCCGGTGGCATACTGACCTAGGTACATAGCATCTGGTAGACACACGCCACAATCATGGCTATGACTGTCATCTGGGCCTCGAGTCTACAGGTAAGATGGTAGTCGAACGACTGGCCAGGTGGACAGTCCCATATCTGTCGAATTGGTTCAGCCGCAGAGACTAAAGCGCCGTCTGAAGGTCTGTCTAGACACAGAAAATGAGACATGTATTTCTCAACTAAATACCTACATATTACACATTATGTGTGTTTAACAAGGCAACCTTCGAATAGTCAGTCGGTAACCATTAAATCCACACGGAGCATATAACACTTTCCCCCCTTTTAAGATTATAGTCGTTCGGTATTTTCATAGTCTGCTTAGTAAGTTATCTGGCCCGCAACCATTGTCTTCTTTTAGAACAGGCCCTTGCCCAAATCCACTGTAATAACTTAGTTATTATCATAAGGCGTGGAGACTGAGTCTTCTAGGCTTGTCCTTGCATTTTGTGTATCCGTCATCATCCGGGTGGGACTCTGGCCGGTACGTACCCATATTCATCAGCACGGACGAGCCACAGGGAAGAGGGGGGCAAATGGCAGGGGTATGACTGTTATGTACCGGTACGTATCCTTCAGAGCACCTAGGCAGGCAAGGTACAGGGGACTCGGACTAGACTCTAGAGGTTCCTAGATCTCAATGTATTAGTCTCTGTTACATTTGCCCCGGACTATCACCCCTTCACTTGGGATCAATCTGTTAGGTACCTAATGCAGCGTTGAAAGCAGCTTAGGACCTTAGGTACCTAGCATTGTACCTAAGTAACCGGGGTGGGCATTTTTGCACCCTATGCCTAATGTGTATGGACTTAGCAGCTGGGAGCTTCCACTCATCTTCTACAATTCTTCCTTCAATCGGGCGACTAAGATAGCACCGAATTAGAACTTTCAACTTTCCCCCATGATCGAGATCTTTTTCGTTTGAATTATTTCAATGTTCATGCTCTTAAAAATACTAATATATGTAGTGTATAATCTATAATAATATGTACGTGTAATTTTGGATTTATGTATGCAGTGCTGCACATGCAGACGTATTATGTATGTATGTTATATGTACGAACATTGAAGCAGTTAGGAGGGTAGGTATAAAGTATCAAGTAACTATCAAAAAGAATGATGATTGATCTCGGTGCAAAAGTGGAATTTCGAAATACACCCCCCTTTTCGTCTGACAAAGCCACACGCCCCTCCCTCCCACGCTATCTTCATTGCCCATTGCCCATTCCCAATCGTCCCGTCCGTTCAATGCTGTCAAGGGTCGAGCCTACCTAACATCTTAATACAATAGCTATGTACTTAATAGACCTGCATGTGTAGTATAATAAACTTAGCACTTGAGATATGTATGTAGGTACCTTGAATGTATGTATCTGCCTACACATGATATACCTTCAACATTGTTTATACATCCAGGGTTATCTTGGGTACTAGGTACTTGAGTACTTTAAAATGTTTCCTTAACCATGCCTTCCTTACCTTCCTTGCCTGCCAGGGCCTTAATTCCCATCCGACTTTTGGTACTCCGTCCCATGTCGTCTTTCATTCACTTACACTACCACATACATCACATACATAACCACATACATACTACCTATACCTTGAACTCTCTACATACATCCATACATCCATACATACATACATAGCTACATGTATATGCAAAGGTAGTTAGTCTATACGTACCGTATATTCTACTACATAATTCACCATTACCAAATTCTTACTTCCATCATCATCACATCCGTCACCTGTCACCCATCACCCGCCAGCCAAACACTAGTAAGGCCCTTGACAGGACCCTAGCTATTCCATACATATAATACATATCTACATAAACTAACCTAGGCCGGCTCGGGCCAGCCCAGGTAGTCGGAGATTCAAAAATTATAATTATAATAATACTAAGTCTAGGGCTCTCCTCTCTCTCTCCTTCAGTCCAGAAGAAGATTGAAGAATACTTCGAACTTCGAGTCCCTTTAAGTACCACCAATTCGACCTGGAACACGTTAGAGTCTAAGTACCCACTACGCAATCTTTTAGTGAGCTGTACTATATTACCACCAGATCACCCTCCCTATCAAATCAGCTTCTATTCATATAGTCCCTTTCCGCTCGCTACTTACTCTCTCTTTTACCGCTTCTTCAAGTTCATTACTCTGACACAAGCCCCCCCCCCCTCCCCCAAATCTATATCTCACACCCCCCCCCTTACGATCGTTCTAGACGTTGCGCCGTCCCGCGCCGCAGACCTCCATGATATTTACCATCGTTTAACTTCAACAACTTTACGAAAAGGTCCACGATAAAGGCGCCAATTTACTGACACACCAACTACTCAAGTCGACTTACACGATTTTCGTTAATCATTTTGCGCCATCTTTGCCATAGATTCACCAGAGAAGGAGGGCCATCTCACCTTGGCATGCTTGCCTGACATACTTGCGACTTATTTAATTGCTTGATTTCTCGCAAGTTCTTCTTTTTAGGCTCATTTTGCAAAACTTACGACATCGCTGTCTTGCGACAGCACCTGTTTGAATTTCTTCCAGATGTTTCGCCAGAGGTGAGTTGGCATTCTTGAAGCAGGACCCCAATCAACAACATCGATCCTTGCTTGTGCTCGTCTAGGAGGCTCCATGGGATATAACAGGATCTTCGTTGATGCTCTATGCCCTGGATCAACTTGGAACAAGCCCTGCCATCCCTGTTCCGTTTTACTGACCATGACTGCGCATAATATAGGACAAGCACACAGAAGCCTGGCGACGAACTGCTTGCCAACTTCCGACAGCAGTTCCCCGAGATCACGGCCGTAACCTCACCTTCGGCATCGGGAGTCCCAGCGCCAAATACTGTGACAGCTAATAACTCAGTTCTCATTCCGCCAGATCCAGAACCGTATGTTCGCTTTCTTTTAGACTCACCCCTTCGTGTAGAATCTCTTCTTTGTATTTGCGACAACTTCTATGAGTCGGATGGTTGAAGCGCTGCAAGCGCATCGTGGGAGCTTCGAGCGCGGGGTATTTTCATGACCTTTATGCGACCCCAAGCTAGAGCGCCATAATACTTCCATATTATGATATGGGATTCGCATAGCAAAGCAAAGCAAGGCAGAGTAGTGCAAAGAAATCCTGATGCTAACCCCAAACTTATATCTAGACATCATGGTGCAGGTCCAGATGTGTTCCGAGATCAGGATCCTACACCACGGGCTTCTGGTGCAGAGTGGAGGTTTACGCCTTCGTTACTTGACCCCAGTTCCTTCTCCTTCACCACCTTCGCCAACCAACCGCCAGGTTATTACACTCCTACGCCTGGGGGAACCAATACGTTATATCATTCGCAAGCAGGTGACTTACATACGCCATCAATGGGACTAAGTATGGGACTCGGGACTCCGCTGTCGCTACCTACCAGTGAAGTTGCCATACAAGCAGGAGCCGCCATGATGGACCTCACCCAATATCATCAGGGAATACCACCACCCCAATTTCAACAACATTACAACCCCTTCATACAGCCAACCCCACCACAGCCTTCATTTGCGCCTTCGTCTTTTGTGCACCAGGACACCGGCTACGAGACAATGGACCATGATGGGTCCCCTCTTGATTCCGATAGCCACGAGGAGCATATAGGTTCCATGAATGCGACTTTCCAGTCGCAATCGCCTCCTAACATGAACATGATAGGCTTTCAACATAGGCCGTTCGGAGCGCCTATGACCCATTTATTACCACCTTCAGCCACCAAGTTCCGTTTCCAATCAACATTGAATGCGCCGACGGCAATGATTAAACACGCAGACGAAATTCCAGTAACATACCTGAACAAAGGACAGGCCTACTCTCTCACTGTGGCAGATACTGCGGCTTCTATGCCCATCGTCCCCGGCACGAAGTACCGCACGTTCGTGCGGATCTCCTTTGAAGATGACCAGCAACGGCAAAAACCTGGTGTCTGTTGGAGCTTATGGAAAGAAGGTCGTGGGACCAACGAGGCGCACCAGCGGGGTGGTAAGTTACAAGCCGTTGAATACGTTGAAGCAGGGCCGCCCGCCGAAGGTGATGATAAGCGAACACGTGTCGAACTCGAGACTGCTTCCTTCGATGGGTTTTCGGTCGTTTGGACACCCGGTCTAAGTGGCGTTGCAGAGTGTACTGTCGCTGTTCGCTTCAATTTTCTATCCACCGACTTTAGCCATTCCAAGGGTGTTAAGGGTATTCCAGTGAGACTCTGTGCCAAGACGACGGTGATGCCGCCGACCGATTCATCTCCGCTATCAGACTCAGCATTTGAAATATGCTACTGCAAAGTAAAGCTCTTTCGAGACCACGGCGCCGAACGCAAGCTATCTAATGATGTCGCCCATGTTAAGAAGACAATCGACAAACTCAAACAACAGATTACCCAAGCGGAGAGCGGGGCCAAAGATTTTGGGAAGCGTAAACGAGGTGGGGGTGCACACACCAAGAGACAAGATCATCAGCGTCCAGGCAAAGCCCCAAAACATAAGAGGACTTGGTCAATGTCATCAACAAGTTCTGGAGGCGGTGGCGGTGGTGGTGCGCGACCATCACTCGAGGATGACTTACACTTCAAACTTCAGACACTACAGGACATGTTTACGAGTACTCGGGCAGTAAGTGTTCTCTACCTACGCGGCGACGATTTAGACGATCCAGACCTACACCCAGTAGGCCTCGCTGGGGAGCCGACCGATCTTACCAAAGTCGAGTCGAAAGATAGCGTAGCCTGGAAACTTCGAAGCGCACGGAGTTCGGTGGGTGGATCATCGCTCGTCTCTCCATCGCCGAGTTCCTTGTCTATGAATTCACAGTCGGCCAATACTACTCAGTGGAATGACTTTTCTGGAAGTGGAGAACCTTCGGCTTCCCGGAGAGTTGCTGATGTGCCTACCAAGATCCGCAGACCAGACGTTGATGGGAATTTAAGTGGCTGGATAGAGGCACTAGGAGTCGATCCCTCATATAAGCCACCTATTGAGAGACCTGTTAAGCCCATTGCCTGTTTCTATGTCGTCCGACGACACTCCTCGGGGCCGGAACAACGCGAATTCTACCGAGCAATCTACCTTACCCAGAGAACAGCGATGGAATTTGTATCCCGAGTCTCAATCAAGTGGGCCATCGAATCTGCAGCTGTTGTGCGGGTTGTCCGCGTCCTCAAAAATGGCCTCGAAGTGGAGGTAGATGACGAGATAATTCAAGCAATCCCCGAAGGCCAAGACATGGCGCTCGAAATAGTAGAAGTAGAGCGGAGTATTCCTCAGCCTAAGAGGGAATGGGAACTGATGACGGTTGATGCGCCTGACGGCGACAAGGAGTCTACACACAGCGCATTTCGGACAGCGACCGGTTATGAACTACGACTTACATTCTAAATTATTTGGGTGATGAGGATCGATTATTTACATGGACATTTTGCTTCGACGAATATATTCTAGGGTATGGGAAACGGTTTTCCGGCATCAGGTTTGCCTTCATGCCAACGAACATGAACACTTATACCCAAACGACCACCGGCGGATTTTTTTTGATTATTATGTCTGGCGTTTGAGCGGAATATTAAAAGATACCATTCCCTTAAGGGGCAGCTCTGTTTCTCTTCCGTTCCTTCTGTTGTGACGCGAACCGATTTGCGGATTTTTCTTAGATCTGACGCTGCTACATACAACCTAACTTACATTACCTATAGAAGAAACGATTTGTATTATTGAACGGTGGGCGTTGCTAGAAGGCCCCCCTTACCCCCGGATGCTCCTTTTTTTATTTAATGGTTGTGGGATATACCCAATGGGATCAAGGACGCCCAGCCGCGAGCTATTTTTTTCGGGGTTTACTTGGAACGGCGGCTAGTTAAGCAGGACAGCTGGAGCTACATTACATCCATGGATTACATTGCATTGTGAAGAGGACCTTCATAGTTCACTTCAAGGGACATACCTCACTGTCGATATCACATTACTTTCACTTTCATCTCACTAATTTATTCAAGGACGGCTTTGGGGGTTTTCAGGCTGACGGTATAATGCGGAAGGGGTATCTAGTACATACCTAGTAATAGTACTACCTACCTGTGGTCTCGGCCCATCAAGACGGCGTAGTCCATTCAAACCTTGGGCTATTATCCACCTGGGCACACTCCATAAAGTGACTAATGTATGTACAAGGAATACGAAACAAAACAAAAGATTAATAGACTAAAAAGTACAATACATCATGCTTACCTACCTACTCGGACTACTCTAGGTAGGGTAGATTTATTGGGTCTTGTTAGGAATTGTGAACTCAGATTGATCAATGTTTTTTGGTGTCGAATTTTTGTTTACATTTACAACCATGAATGAATGATTAACTGCTTTGTTGTGCTGTCGTGATCAACCTTCGTTGGCTGATATCGGGATGGGTTGCCCAACTGGGTTTAGTTGGATGACGACGCTTTTAATCTCTCCGCCAATCTGTCTGTGATGATGATCGAGATCGAGACTACCTAGTGTTAGCCTTACTTTGCATCTATGCCCTAATTTTATGGCTTGATCTTTTTTTTTTCTTTTCCTCCATCTTTTTTCTTTTCTTTTTTCAGCAGACTAACTTACCTAGGATTTTCCCTTATGTTAATGAAGTGCCCCTTAAAACAGTATGCTCATTAAAGTGATTCTAGATGCACAAAAATGCGGTGTTGTCGCTGGTACTGGTACCCCCCCCTCAACCCCCCCCTTTCCTTTCTCCCACGGTCACATTGCATGTGGAAGGGCTGAGGCCTAGAACTTTTTGATCTATCCGAGAGGCTTATTGAGACGTACATACAACTTATACATGTAAGTGGTTACCTATTATGTCCAATATACTGTAATTCTATATTAAGTGAACACAACATAGAGAAGATATAGTGGTAGATATAGTGGTAAGTGCAACTAATACATAACTAGATAATATAGACCTACATGTAGGGCTTTGTAGCTTTGTGTTATTCGATAACTATTCAACATTTGAAAAACAGCTCATACTTACATATGTAGTTAGGACGTAAAAAGCGGTTGAATCTCTAACGGTAGTTATGTTCAAATTGCTTACCTAAACTACGAAGTACATGGATAGGCATGTAACTAGTTACCTGCCAGCCTGCTGAATTCTAACTCGATGATGGTACGGACCGTACGGTAGTTCACTTTGTTTAATGCCGTTCCTTCACACCGCATTATAAGTTGTATTGCTTCGAGTCCCGAGGTCTGCCCTCTTCATGCTAATAATGCAATTAGCTAAATGCAATAATGCATTAATTACTATGTATGTGTAAGTGGACAACCCCACTTAACGGTACCTTAATTTTGCACCTAAAGTTCATCACTGCACCTGACATTGTTTGGCGTGGCTTTTAGTGGCTGAATATTACATAGCACTACCATGTAGTTACTATCATGAATGTATCTATCTTCAAGTTCAGGTGTCATCGTCGACCGTGACAGTCGTGACTGCACTGTTACTGTAGGTACATACATCACATACATACCCAGGCGCGGAACTCCGGTACCCAAGACACCGGGTTGTTTTTCTGCAAGTACTACATGTAACTAAATCCTTCTAACTAATTAGGTATAGGTAAGTAGCTACCCCTCCCATTAAAACATTCGACTGGGATGTTCCCCAAATCGAAACACTTTTCCCCTCTACAGGCTACTACAGTACTACCTAGGTACCTAGGGTTACCTTACCTACCCTACCCAGGGTACTTATACTAAAGTCTTATAGAAACGGAACAAATAGGAACATTGAAATCGAAACATCACCAAGTTGACACCGACTAAACCTAACGTGACTTACTAAATCTTCAAGGTTGTTGTCGGTGAAGAAGTCAATTAAGCATGAAGCAACATCCCCGCTCCATCATGATAATATTATACTATTGTTACTACACTAATAGGTATTCCTAGTATTATATCTCAATGCTTCTCTTATACCATCCATACCTAACAGCTTTCTACCTCGGTAGATAATACCCATCAGCATCACTCTAACCCTACGTGAACCCTACGTGAACCCTACGCGTGGGGTTGATAATGTGTCTATCCCGGGGGATAGAGACAAAAAAAGAGGGACGATAAGGATAGGTATCAAACAACATGACAATCGTCATTTCTTGTCAGAGATCGTTCAACTGACCAACGACCGATACTCTATCTCGCCCGCTGCTATCATTCTAATCAAAGAGTCATCCCCTGGCGCATATCCGGACGGTCCCTCATTATCTACCTACGGTACTTACCTGCGTAGTAGGTAAGTTAACTACTCAACATTGAAACCCGCGCATCGTTTTTGCGGATGTAAACGCGGTCTTGCCGACACATTGGCATGCTACGCGCATGATGGCGGCCTGACGTTGAAATTCTAGAGTCTAGCCCACCAAAGCCACAAACAAAAAGGGCTTCGAGATCGACGTCTGAGTTGAATTGAGGCAGTGCATGCTAACCGGCCACGGGAACTCCACCAGCTGTGGCGAGTGGTCGTTTGCGTGCGTGCTCCAACTTAGGTACGCAGCGCCAGCACAGTCGATCTCTAATTCGATATGCGGCTATCTTGTACCACCATCGTCCAACCGAAACCGAACAGCTCCTTCTCGGCTGCTGTCATAGGTAACATGCCTCGAGCTCGCGACTCGCTACATGATGCCTGACTAGGTACCTAGGTATCGGGTATACGGCACTTTGCCAAAATGAAGTTATTTGCATTTCGATAACATCATCCCCCCAGGCGAGACCCAATCATATCTTAGACATGCTACATACTATATGTTTGTACTAGGGTACTCGATATGTAACCTTCAAGACGTTATATGATCAAAAATCCTCTAGCACACCTCTGCGTTTCAAACCCCTGGACTACCATGCTCGGGGCTTCCGGTTCGACGCCCAGTGGACATTTCTCAACTCTGCATAATGAATCTTCTATGACTGCAACTCTAGGTATTTCCTATTTGGACGATTGGTGGGCAGTTAGAAGAATCGGATTACGCCAATAGTGTTAGATCCTAGACATACATATATACCTACCTACATAGGTAGGTACTGATATTGTTGGTCAGGTGAGTAGTTACATACCTACATATTCAATCCCTCCTTACATAGATCCCTATGCGAGTACAGAGGAGGTACTCAACAAGAAGTTCTGTATCAAATATATGCGCCTCCTAAATTCATGTACACACATCGGGTGTCATGGTATGCTAATATTGCTAGGTTACCTATATTACCGGCACTTTTCATCTCAAAAGCAACATAAAGTTATCAAAATGAAACGGGACTCAGATCTACTAGGACTAAATTAACATTATCGATGAACTTTTGGTAAGTATAGCCGCTGCCCTATGGTTAAGCCTTGCATTATTTGTGATAGATATCCACAGCGGGCGAGCGGCTGCTGGAATTAGTTGATTTGGGGGTTAAACGCGTTTCTAACGTATCACATGGCGTTGTGGTAGGTACATTACAACACATGTAAGCCGGCTACAGCGCCTACGATGCCCAGGTATACATCCATACATCCGTGGATATGATATGTGGTTGTAAACATTGACTTCACTTACTTACTACTTGGGTACGTAGGTACTCATGTCGACGCCTGGTGCTGCAGCGAACATTGAAGCAACATTGAACATTATTGATTACAGTTATCCATGGATAGGTGTGATAAGATCCTCGTTACAGCGTCTCATTGAGTTTCTTTAGGCTTTTGCATCATGCACCTGTGACGCGCTGCGAGCAACTAACCCCGGCCTGTCAAGCCCAGGGCTTAGGGGCTGGGGGCTAGGGGCTGTTCAGCGATCAAAGTACCGGTACTTACAGTGACAGTGCGCTAGCAGGTACCTAGCCAGGGGACACACTCGCCACAGACTGTCTAGACCTACGGGAGGCTTGACCTCCGAACCACAACCACGGGCTCTCCGTGGATATCGGTCGAGTGCACCGGAGCCGACCGGTAGCGGCATCTGAGTACCTCAGGTAGGGGGGAAGTTAGGTACAATCATCTGTGCTCGAAAGACAATTTTAATTACATTAGTAGCTGAATTCACTCAGCGGCTTCCACGCAAGCGAGCCTCGGTCAAATTCCACTCGAATTTCGAGCCATTGATCACTAGGTCGCACACCCATCGTGCTCCCATGCGACTTGCCGGCGAAACATGGCATGTTTACACAAAACCTTTTCAGGAACAGCCCAATCTAGACAACATGAGGAGGCCTCACTTATGCCACGTGGACTCGCAATCTACGACAATCCGCATGTCTCATCTAGTATTATGCCCAATAGGAGCCTCAAGACGCGGCTTGCTTCAGCTAGCCAAGGGAGGGAGGTTGAGTTATATTAGGTATGGCAGCGAGCGACACACGACCGGGACGGGTAGTAGGTTATCCATTCGGCGCAATTTCTTAGGTGCCCCAGGATGCTTAAATATCGCCACTCGTGCTCTCGCTAGAGTAGGTATGTATTGTCCCTGCCTACCACCGCCATTCAATTATTGTGCCTACTAGCAGGTACCGCAACACAGTCCGTAACCAATCACGCTTCCAAAGGCAAACTCATCAGGGGAAAATGACATGGTTCAAGGTGGATGGTTGTAATACCTACACCTGCTCCAGCCATAATCGATGCTACGAGCCACAAAGTTATCGCATCACGCCCCTGGGGTAGCTCCCTATTTGGGTCGAATTTGTGCGACGCGGTGGTCGATCGCCACGGTATGAGCCACAAACAGCATGTTTACGATTGAATGGGCACAAGCGAGCGAGGCTCTGCTCTCTACACTACCTAGGTAGGGAAGAAAAAGAGAGGTAGGTCTTGGATGAGCAAATCTTTGCTTTGTTCGGATAACGAGTATGTATTATGTAGCTACTTACTATGTACACTACACTAGCTGCACGAGCGCAAAAAAAATTTGCCACCTCTCGAGCCACAAACAACAAGAGGCCCGCTAAGTTAGTGTAGACTTCTTCGGCCCCAGAACGGGTTGGGTTGGTTCGGCCATGAGGGAGAGCCAATGATATCGTCCTATCGCGAAGCAGACTTTCCTCATCAGGCAGTCCTCCTCCGCACTCGCCACAACGGCGCTCTACTAAGTAGCCTACTGTGCTGCTGTGTGCGTTTGGCCCACCGTTAGAGAGGAATGGATGCATCAGAAGTTAGAACGGCTACCCTGTCTGTCTTCCCGGCAGCATGCGTCGGACATTTAACTCTGGATAGGGAGGGTTCGTCGGACCTCTTTCTTGGTATGTGCGAATCCCTGAGGTGGTGTTGGTGATGGTGAGAATGGTTGATGATCGAGGGTTGGTGATGTGCCACAGCTCGCCACAGGTGCCGACCGACAGAGCAGAGCGACCGGACACTCCTGATGCGCTGGCAGAGGGAAATACGTCTACACTACAATACCTACACACAGTCCAGTGGCTCCACCCCGTTAAGTGTGTCTACCTACATGTTAGTGTCAAGCCTCATCGACGCAGGCGATAGCGAGAATATTAAGTGTTCACTTTCACTTCATCGGGGGGTGGGTGGGAGGGAGCTAACAGGTCGCTTGCTTCGAAGGATAAAGATCTTCAACCCGTCTGACGACAGAGAAAAAAAAAAGTGGCTAGTGAAAAAGTGCCAACGTTAGTGGTGCAGTGGGCGCAAGCACAGCGATCGGCGGACCGGCTGCCGTTTCTGGACGGCGGTTCGGTGCCTAGGTCCGAAAGTTCCTCCGGCGCTTATTCGCCCGAGGCTGTTAGACAGATAAACTTACCATGTGAGTACTTAGGTTGGTAGGTTGTCTGGTAGGTAGGTAGGTAGGTAGGTAGATGGGAGTGGCATGTATACTAACCTAGGCACGCATGCACATACATACGCTGCGCTAGATAGGGAGATGGCCAGGTAGATGGATAGAAGGATAGATACATACCTAGGTATGGGAATTCCGTGATAGCAAGGGATATCGTCAGTGACGCTATTTACGACGAACAATGACGAGTATATCGCCATGCGCTTTGCGAATAAGCCCACGAGAACGGAAAGGGAAATGCGAGGGAAGGATCTTTTTTTTCGTTGGGACCTAGGTACCTATGTAGGTATTTCCGTGCGCTGTTCTCGTAACACGTCATGATATTTTTTTTACCTAGGTACCTACTTAATGGTTCCATGTCGTATTAGTTAGAAAGAGAGATATATAACCCCGTTTCGGACTTAGTAGGTGTATATAACTGGTGATCTTATTGCCAAAACCAAAAAAAAAAAAAAAAAAAAAAAAAAAAACCCCAGAATGGGATGTCGAATGTCGAATTTGTTTGCTCGGTAGGTATGGTGGGTGACGTCATGCGACTTGGGAGAGGGGCAGGGGCTGAAAGGGGATGAGCGACGGGGGGAAAGATGTATGCACATTGGAGAGTTGGGTTAGGTAGTGGGATGTTGATAGGTAGTTGGGGTAGAGGGAAGGGTTTCTTTCATGTGATTGGCGTATAAAAAAACACATTAAGAGGTGAAATCTTTACCAGTAGGCTGGCTAGGTGTACTTTGTAGGCAGGTAGAACAGAGACTTCAGGTGAAGGTATTCGGGTAACTAGTTAATTAGTATTCTACATTAGTTGGTTTCTATTGTGTCTAGTATCTATGGATTAATACCTAGTGATCAACATAATACGGGACATCTGGTCAGTGTCTGTCATCCAGCCCAGGGGTTTCCACGATGCTTCTCCTTTCCAGGCCTGGAGATATGTGCATTTATCCGTGGATGATGCGTATTGAATGTGAATCCTCTTTTTAGCCCCTCTTCTAAACTTCTCATTTCCTCCTTCATGGTAAGGGGCTACTTTGAGTCTCATCGAGGATAGATTGAATCTGTTCCTCACTATACGGAACCTATTTGAACCGAATAACCCTAGCTAGGTGTTAGAATCCAAGTAAACGATTGCGCTGATGGCCTAGGGGAGTGGCAGCCTCAAGCTTAGTTTATTTCCTGCGGCGGGCTGGGAGGCGCCTACTAGATAGTTAGTTCCCCTATCGCCGTGATGATAATGTGCCTGAGTAGTTTATGCGACGCCGTGGTAGAAGCCAATGAACTATACTCATGTTGGATGGTTTACCGGTCTGTCTCTAAGTTTGAAACTTGGTCTAATCGGAAATAAACCATGCGTGAGTGTCGTTGAGGCGCTTCCCTTGGACACATGTCTACCTATATATGCATGCTATCCACCCAACAGCAAAGATTACACCTCCCTCTTTGCGAAAGCTGCTCAAAGCTCTACTAGCGACTGTATCGCGCTCGCCATCGGCGGGATCGACGTGAACAGAACGGTGATCGTCCCGAAGATTGTCATCGCCAGGATCGATAGCGCGGCCGCCCGTGGATCGGTGCGGAGGAGCAACGCTGCGCCGATGGCGGATGAGTTAGCGCCGAAGGTCACGCCGCGGGTGACGTAGTCGTCTGTGTAGATGGCTAGATTAGCGATTTGAGATTCCAGGTTTATTAGAGAGGGAGTGCATGATAAAGAAAAGAGGGGGGCGGAGGGAGTTGCCGGTAAATGGAAAAGAAAGAGCCCCTATATAGGATAGACAGACAGGCAGGCAGGCAGGTACCTTCAGGAATCCTAAGGGCGCGAAGTATCGGCTGTCCAACCAAAACCCCAGCAATACCACTCATGATGGCCAAAGCAGCAACAGTATTGGGATCGCCGCCGAGGTTCGCAGCAGCCGGGATGGCCAGCGCGAGCGTGAGGCTGCGCGCGGTAAACGATAAACTACGCGGTGCGCTGATGCCGATGGCGTAGCACAAGGGCGGGTACGCGAACAGCGAGCCGACGGAGATGGCGACGTTGGGCACCAGGATCGACGCGAAGTGCTGCTTCAGCTCCCGCCGGTACTGGTACACCGGCAGCGCGAACGACACGATGCCCGCGTCGAGCACGCTGGAGAAGAGGTCGCCTGCGCCTGGGAGGAGACCCTGGTGACTGCTTCCGCTCCAGAGCGCCACGTACCCGAGGCCGGTTTTGTACGCGGCGAGGGTGGCGTGGAGGTCGTCGCCTTTGATTAGCCCGAGGGCCCAGATGCCGAGGACGGTTAGGAGGGCGGATACGAGGACGGGGTGGAGGTAGGTTCGCCAGGTTGGCGGGAGAGACATGGCGGCGAAGTAGGCGAGGATGTTGAAGGCTAGGTGCATGGGCATCGCGTAGCCGACGGCATAGTAGAGCGGGAGCCCGACCAAGATGAATAGGATGGCGTAGGTGAGGTGGTCGATGTGGGCGGTGATGATCGCGGCCCATCGAGTTGCCCGTGACGGAGGTATAGGGGCCTGATGGGGCATGCCGCGGGGGGTTACGTCACCGCTTGTCGTCTGGGGAGTACTCGACCGTAATAGGTCCTCCTCTCGCCAGCCATGGGCAATGTCGCGCGAGCGCGGAGGGAGCTGTACATTGATCTCGTCGGACGAAAGTTGCTCTGAACTGGTTACGGGAGTTGATGTCCTCGCAGGCGTAGAGGGCGATGTCATGGGTATTTCCTCGCTGCTGGGGTTGAGCTCCTCTGCGCGCTCAGTCAGGGCCCGCTTTGAGGACCCCAGTACGAGCTGTAGGCCGCGGGTCATATATGCTGCGAGAGCCATCATCACGACGAAGCCGATCACTAGGTAGGCGAAGGAATTAAACATGAACGTTGGGACAATATTGAGTCCGTTCATTAGGTAGGTACTCACCAAAGACGGCAATCATCTTGAGGACCTCGATTCCCCCGATCGAGGGGCTCAGGGGTAGCAGCACGAACGAAGGCGTGAACAAGACATTGATCCATCGCAAGACCCAGCCGCTCTAGTTAGCAATGTCAGTACTTAGGTAGACAAGATGATTTGAGAGTATCCTGCGAAAGGCTTTACTTACCGGGATCTCAACCACACCAACAATGCGCTTCGTCCGATGCTCGCCGAGCACCTTCTCAGACAGCAGCAAGGCCAAGAATAGGATAACGAGACAAGCTACCGAGGACGGGAAGGTCACGGATCCAAGCCCGAACAGTTTATTAACCGCGAAACACGGCAGTAATATCAACAGTATCCCCAGGGGAACATAGAGCCATGACTGTATTGCCTTGTTCCGAGAATGCCGAAGCGCCTTTTTTACGTTAGCATGTTGATCTAGAATGAAGTTGAAGATAAGGGGACAGTCATACGAGTTGTGCTGCGGATGATAAGTCGCTCAGAACAGTGCTATGTTCGGCTATCATTATGAGTTTCTTTTCTTATATCCAAGTCAATTAGCATCTAATTGTTATGTCAAAAGCTATCCGAATGAGAGTGTGTAATGTGATTCATTATAATTATAAGAAGCCTACCTGCCTTACAAGCTGTAAGATGGGTGTTTTTTCATTGATAGTTATACCTACCTACATAGGTAACCTAGGTGTTTATGACGCGCGCGCCGATCTCGGCCCACTTGATCACATCACCTTACTCGAGCTTACGAGCTAAACGACGATAACTTGTAACTTGAGATGTAAATCGAAAACAATTTTGAATGTGTGTCTTGTAATTACATAATATCATCTTACTGGAGATGGGGAGCGTACATAAGTAGGTATGTAAGAGGTTTATTTTCTGTTGAGTATTAGGGGAAGGGGGTGCCATCTTACTACATGGTCGTATAGGAAACATCAACACAACTTGGTTATACATACTAGGTAGTAATTAGAGTAATTAGAGTAACGCATTCACAAATACTGTACCTTACAAACACGAGACACCACCTAGTACATGCAATAGAAGAATGGGATTGTACATTGAACTCATGTCCATCACGTGATCTGTATTATCGTAACTAATAATACATCGTTAGATTCTGAGAGATGAAAAGGAAAAGGCATCCCACAAGTTCCATTTACGCTCCTGTTCTACTCTCTGCTAAACAACCAAGGTCTTGGCTAAGTAGCACATGCATCTAGTATTCATACATTCAATATGTTGTAGCAGTTTAGTTCTACTAAGCTCCAGCAACGACAGCTAAACTCTCGTAAATGGTCCTCTTCACGGCGTAGAAGGTACCGCCAAGCTGTGTGGCTGGGCCCCCATCAGTCGGCAAACCAATGCTCTCGACATCAATGCGGCCCGCGGTGGTCTTCCTCACGACGACAGACCCATCGATGAGCAGCGCGCCTTCGCCCCTGAATTCCGCCGTGTGACCCGATTGCTGCATCGCCTTCCGCAAATCCGCTAGTCGCAAATCTCCAACGTGCAATGGTTGGGCCACGGACCGTGTCGCCGATACCATGTTGGTAGGGAGTATGTCCAGTGTTGGCTCCACAGGGGCTTCGATGGCTGACGGCTCTACTGACTCTTCCGTCTTGAGGCGCTTATTTGCGGCGTCCTCGTCGCGGCTTTCTGCAACAATCTCTTTGTGCATAGCAAGTAATCGGCCGGTGACTGTTGCTATGCTCAACCCGCGTACGTTTTGCCATTTGAGCTGTTTAACTAGGGCAGGGGCGAGCTTAACAACCCAAGCATTTGTATCAACGCTGGCATCAATGGTCGAACCTATACTCGGGGTATATATGCCGGTAGATCCCTCGGCTAGGAGTTTCTTGCAATCCGAAGCCAGCGTTAACGTCTCGCCTTCGTTACCACCAATGAGAATGAGCTTCCGAGGCTGGATTAGGGGAATTAACATGTGTAAGCTTCGCTTATCATGTATGCCGCTAAGATCCATGAACTCAATCTCGAGATTGATGGCAATGGTTTCTTTCGTAAATACCAACCTCGAGGGGCCTTTTGCAATCTCATCGGGGTCATCGGGGATTCCATCGAGCTCATCCTCCACAGGGCCATCTGATATAGCCATTTCAAACTCGTCGGAGACGTTGCGTGTAAGATGTGGTCGTTTCGATGGCCCAGTGCCCTGGCCTTTTGCTGAAATTGCCGCACTATCCCATTTTCGCTTTTTCCCAAGTTTTTCCTGTTCCTCGTCCCTGCCCGCCTGGCCGAAATCCTGACCGTCGCCTTCGTCCCTTTCTTCTGCTCTGAGGTAGTCCTCGGGTCGAATAAGTTCGCCGTAGTCATCGGCACGCTTTCGACGAACCGGATGTGGGAACATCCTATCCCGACCCTTTTTATTCCTGACGTCAAAATCGTAGATGCCCATTTTCTTTAGTAATATGTTGATACCGAGATCTTCGTCTGTCAGAGCGGCTTTTTTCCTACTGGCTTGGCCCATCGTAGTCGCAACATTCAGTGCCCTACCCTGCTGCTCGTTATCGGAATCTTCCGATTCAGACTCCGACTCAGAAACCTCGTCGCCTACATCCGCAGACGACTCAAGTGCGTTGGCACCTCCAGTTTGAAGGGTTGTTTGGAGCTGGCGTTGTTGCGCGAGCCACTGCTGATAAATGGCCAGATCATTGCCCTCCAGAGCTTGCCTCTTCGCAACCGTAAATTCTAGTTCATGTTTAGCTATACCGTTAGAGCCCTCCTTTGCATGTTCTTGGCCTTCTTTCCACCATGTCCAGAGAGTTCTCGCTAAAGATGGGCACGCGTCCGAGATCAACGAAGGGGACTCGGTTAGAATGACCATATTCTTGGGATCTTGTGCAATCTGTTTGAGCACATCTTTCGAGAAACCCCACTCTAATGTTGAATCGCTGGCGATGATTACTTTGCCAGAGGTGGTATTGTCATCAGCCCCGCTGCCGAGAATTTTGTCAATTTGGCCCTTCCTGTCGACAAGTTTTAGATATCTGAAGTCGAAAGGCCCAGCCTCTTTACCCGTTTTGGCTCCGTCAGCCACGCCGTTAACACGTCTAGACCCATCAACGACAGCTTCAAACTCTCGAATGATACTGTCATCCATCCATTCGAGCATACTTCGTGCATATCGCATCGTGCTGTGAATATTGCGGCCCGCCAGGTAGAGCCTAGAGGTCTTTAGCTGGCCTTCGCCAGTAGTCGCGTCGGCTCTCCACGCATGATCCATTAGGTATGCCAACTCCAGCACTCTGGCACTCGAATCAACAGGTATCAAGACAGTTCCTCCTCTCATGACGCAAGATTTGACCTTGCTGAGTAATTGCTCATCTCGCTTACTCCGGCCTCCCGGTATGGAAGGCTTTTCACCTCCTCTGCTGCTGCATACCAGAGCTGTAGGTTTTCGTAATTGCTCAATAATTTCGGCACCTCCACCTCCCGCGCCACCCAGCCAGGCCGCTCCTGCGTATACATTTTCACGTCCTTGATTCCAATCTACGGCGTAGACAATAGACTCCAACCCATGCTGTATATGCCAGATAGTACCCCCGAGTGTTCGACCAGAGTTGTATGCGGTGATTGTGAGACCATTCAAGGGAGGGGAAAACGGAGAACCCAAAGGTTGATGTGGTTGAGAGTACTTTAGGGGGTGAATGAGGGAGAAGTAGGTTGCGATTTCTTCTAGAGTAGGAGCTTGTAACAAAATATCGGAGGATGACTGCTGATTTGTATACAAGACTTCATCGAGGGAGCTAGAAGGTATGGTGGTGGCAGCCAGGGGGGTGGAGGCGTAAAGATCCTGAAGTAAGGTACGGCCGAGAGCGATGACGGGAGAGGTGGCATAGACGGGGATGCGGGTGAAGAGCGGGAAGTGTTTGCAGCAGTGGGCGAATGCGGCGATGTGATTTGTGGTGGCATGAGTAAGGAGAATGAGGGATAATGTTGGTACTTGTCTATATAGAAGATATACGTTAGTCTTTGAACCGATATAGTAAATAGTAAATACCACCAATACCACCAATACCACAACAACTTGTAGAGGATCAGGTATGTAGTAGTAGTATTATAGGACTAGGACTAGGATGATGATCAAATATGAATGTGAAAATAACGTACTTTTCGAGTTCCTTTAACTTCGCGACATCAAACGACTCATCCCAGCCGACGTCGACTAGAAGCTTGATTCCGCCATCAAGCTCGAGGATGGATTGCGACGCGGCGGATTCCGAGAGCGCTCCTTGTAGTGAGCTGAAGGTAAACATGGTTACGTCATTGTATGAAATAGAGTATGTAGCAATCAATTCCAGAGCTTGATGTGCTAAGATGAAAGGGTGATTTATATGTGATGAGGGTTTGCGATCGATAATTAGATTGGATGTTGTGTAGTTGTAAAGTACAAAAAAATGAAAAGACACAATAAGAATTCAAAGCATCGCGCATCAAAGAACCAGACGGGATTTAGAGGCTGTTTGGGAGCATAAGTTTTGCTTATACTTATGGTCCGTGACACTTTAGTACATAAGTATGCTGAAGTGCGTTTTGATTGTGGGGGTTTTCTCCACTAAAACCACGACCAATCAACGCATTTCTTGATGACAATAAGTATTAAGATGTTTGTATGTTTTATATTATTATACATACTTATGTATATGTATGAATTTAAACCGGACTGCTACCGTATTACATAACCTGTGCTGTGTAGGGATTTTCCAGGCGTTAACAAGAGGTACGGTAGGTCAAACCTAAATTTACTGCACGGCTATGTACCTTTTGATATTCCACAGATGTTAACTACCTTTTCTAAGCTTTGCAATTAAATAACTTCTTCAATACTATCTCAAATCAATTGATCAGGGCCTGAATTGAATCGCATCAATTAACTGATCAAGGATCTCAATTTGCAGCGTTTCAATTGGCCCGGTGCGGGTGGTATTTAAGGTTGAAGACCGGGAGCAACATCAGCCGAGCCGCCGCTGTGTGTTAAGCTTAGGGCGCCCACGTGACCCCTCTTGGAGCAGCCTTGAATTTAGGACAAAGGGCTTTTAGAGCCTTTCAGGGCTATTCGTATATTCAAGGCCCCTGTGGCCCCTGTGGCCCCTCTGTAAGTAGGGACATAAGTAGAAATAAGCATCCAAATAGCTGCTCATGAAAAGTCAATAAGCATAAGCTATTTCAAGAAAGCTGATTGGATAAAAAAAAAAGTATTATGGTTCGATCCACAAGCAGAATTATAATGGGTTTCAGAAAAATTATACCTCACAAACACTTTACTTATCCTTTTGCTGAAAACCCACTAAATCCCCATAAGTCTTTTTTTACTTATGCTCCCAAACAGCCTCTTAGTTACCAGGTTTAGCTTGCATGGATACGTACCTAGGTACCCACAATAAGTGCTAAAGGTACCTACCTAGGTACTAGGTACTAGGTATTAGGTACTAATGTGGGTACCTTGATAATTATGTATGTAAGCAAGTGCGACCAGATTATCCAGATATCCAGCGCACGGACCATACATACATACTCATGACAACTTCCAATTGTGGGATCTGACTGGACGGTCTGGACCTGAACTGATTGTCGGGCTGGAAGATGATCGGAAAATCACCGGAATGATATCGTGTCAATTTGATAAGATTTCCATCACTTGAGAAAAAACCCCCTTAGCTTCAAATGCTTAAGGTTCGTATCCATACGCCGCCATATTTTCCATATTTTAGTACTTAACTATGGATACAATTTGACATAATCAACACGATTCAGATGTCATTTCTCAACTGTGGCCACAACAACAACAACCAAAAAACAGAAAGAAAGGAAAACAACAACCAGACGCAATGACACAAATATCTGACTAGAAACAAACTTCAGTCATCTGCTTCATCTATTCGAGTGTCATTTTGTCATTTTTGTAAATGAGAGATACATAAACTTCCTTAATATGTACTAGGTACCATGGAACACATCCAATGTTTATGATCTGCTAGACCGAACCCGATCCGTACCGTACCGCATCCATTCATACCAGGTACTACTAAATACTACGACTTCCTTTGATGTATAGGGGGTAGATTCCGAATAACGATACGACGATAATCCTTGGGTTCATCTCACGTAGAGAGTCTTATTACCTAGTACTTTACCAACGATCATTCGCAATGGCTGATTACTCCATGTATCACGCCCTCGGTCAGGGCGAACAACTCGATCCTAACGATCCTAACCGAACGACTCAACCTGCCCCCCCGCAATTTCAACCTCCAGTTGCCCAAAACCCTTACCAGCAAGGTCCTGCTTACGGTTCTCCCGCACCTCAAGGTCAACATTATTATGGAGGCCCACCGCCTACCGGCAGTCCTTTGCCACCTACCCCAGGGTTTGCGCCTCCGCAAGATGGAGGTCTTGCCTCACAAATGGCAGGCATGTCGTTAGGGGATGGGCAACATACGGCGGCTAGGAAGAAGAAGAAAGATCGCCACGCTTTCCACGCCGTCGAGGCACCAGTGGGCTCGTCTCAAGCTTACAATGGTATTCCACCCGCCGGAACACCTGCTACGGCTTTCTTGAACGCCGACCACTCCGTACAAGCAGGTAGTCAATTCATCGGACAGCCACTCTCGCCGAACCAATTCCCAGCGCCTGTCAATGCGCCATACCAGCCTCTTTCTCCTGCCACTCCTGCTGAATTCGCTGCTAGGGGTGGTCAGATGGATCCAGGCCATGCGCCTGCCTTTGTGCCAGCGGCGGGCGGTGGGCAAGTTTCACCAGACGATATTCCCAGCGTGCCAGTGTCCAGAGATGTGCCCCAGCAATACTATCTAAGCAACGTGTATCCCACCTTCGAGCGTCACGTGCCTCCTCCAGCTACCGTCTCCTTCGTTGCTTACGACCAAGGAAATTCTTCGCCCAAGTTCACTCGGCTGACCATGAATAACATACCAGCTAACGCGGAAGGATTAAATAGCACTGGCTTGCCTTTGGGACTTGTCTTACAGCCTCTAGCCCGCCTTCAGCCCGGTGAAATGGAGGTACCCGTACTAGATTTTGGCGACGTCGGACCACCCAGATGCCGAAGGTGTCGTGCTTATATCAACCCTTTCATGATGTTCCGTTCTGGTGGAAGTAAATTCGTGTGTAATCTCTGTACTTATCCGAACGATACTCCTTCCGAATACTTCTGCGCAACAACACCCCAAGGTGTAAGAGTGGATCGGGATCAGCGACCTGAGCTGACGAGAGGGACTGTTGAATTTACAGTGCCTAAAGAGTACTGGACGAAGGAGCCGACGGGTATACACTGGTTATTTGCGATCGATGTCACTCAGGAGTCTTACAACAAGGGATTTTTAGAGGCTTTCTGTGAAGGAATACTTGCCGCGCTCTATGCACCTGAAGATGGGGAGGAGACGGATGAGAATGGGGAGTTTAAGCGCCGAATTCCCCCTGGTGCCAAAGTCGGATTCGTCACCTATGACAAGGACATACATTTCTACAACTGCAATGTACGTATTGACTCAACTTGGCCAAAGTGATCGCTAACGACTGTGCAGCCCGCTCTTGAACAAGCACAAATGATGATTATGCCAGATATTGAGGATCCATTCGTACCGCTTAGCGATGGTCTTTTCGTTGACCCATACGAATCGAAGGCTGTCATAACCTCGTTACTCGCGCGGTTGCCCACTTTATTTGCAGATATCAAGAACCCGGAACCTGCTCTATTACCAACATTGACCTCCTGCTTAGCTGCTCTAGAAAAGACTGGAGGAAAGATTGTGTGCTCGCTGTCTGCTTTACCTACCTGGGGCCCTGGCAGACTTTTTATGAGGGATGATGGACAGTACACAGGCGGAGAGATTGACAAAAAACTTTTTTCAACTGAACATCCCGCGTGGAGGAAAACCGCAGAGAAGATGGTTGCGGCTGGTGTTGGTATTGACTTCTTTATGGCCGCGCCGTCCGGTGGATATCTAGATATTGCTACTATTGGTAAGTTTGTCAACGAAACTGGCACCGTGAAAATTACAACTAACAATTTAAGGCCATGTCGCGTCCACGACGGGTGGAGAGACTTTCTACTATCCAAATTTCGTAGCAGGTCGTGACAACGCCAAGCTTTCTCTCGAGATCAAGCACACGGTCACAAGGGAAACAGGTTACCAAGCACTAATGAAAGTTCGATGCTCCAACGGTCTCCAAATATCGGCTTACCACGGTAATTTTATACAACATACCTTCGGGGCCGATCTTGAAATAGGGGTAATCGACGCGGACAAGGCTGTGGGCGTTACTTTCGGTTATGATGGAAAACTTGATTCGAAGCTCGATGCTCATTTCCAGTCTGCCCTTCTATACACTACAGCTTCCGGTCAGCGCCGAGTCAGGTGTTGTAACGTGATCGCAAGTGTTAGTGATAATCCGCGAGAGTGCATGAAATTCGTCGATCAAGACTCTGTCTACACAATTCTTGCCAAGGATGCAGCTTCTAAACTTGCTTCAACTTCGAGCACGTTAAAGGACATTAGGCTAGGTCTAACAGAGAAGACGATAGATATTCTTGCAGGGTATCGCAAGAATTTCTCGTCCCAGTCTCATCCACCAGGGCAACTTGTCATGCCGGAGAAGCTCAAAGAGTTTTCCATGTATATGCTTGGTCTTATCAAGTGTCGGGCTTTCAAGGGAGGAAACGAAACGTCGGATCGGAGAGTACACGAGATGCGCATGATTAGATCTATAGGCGCCCCCGAGCTCAGCCTCTACCTTTACCCCAAGATGATACCCATCCACAACCTAAACCCGGAGGACGGATTCCCTGATGAGCAGACCGGCTACTTGAAAGTGCCTACGGCCACTCGCGCATCGTTCAGCAGAGTTGAGCCGGGTGGGGTATATCTGGTGGATAACGGGCAGCAATGCTTATTATGGTTCCATACTCAAACCTCTCCTAACTTACTGGTGGATCTATTCGGGGAAGGCAAGGATAACCTCACCTCACTTGATCCATACAGTTCATCTCTGCCAGTTCTACAAACGCACCTAAACGCCCAAGTTCGGAACATCATCGAATTCCTAAAGACCATGCGTGGTTCCAAGGCTTTGACAATTCAACTGGCCAGACAAGGAATCGATGGGGCTGAGTACGAGTTTGCGAGAATGTTGGTTGAAGATCGGAATAATGAAGCACAGAGTTACGTGGACTGGCTAGTGCACATTCATAAGGGTGTTCAACTTGAGGTGAGTTGATTCTTTCCTATTTATACGCGACATAGGAAATCTTTTTAGAAACTAGTTCTCTAGTTATAGTTGGGGAGTGATCGCTGATATAAGTCAATACAGTTGGCTGGGCAAAGGCGAAAGGATGGTGATGAGCATAGTTCCCTAGCGTCAACGTTCCAGGGGCTGAGGCCACAGTACTGGTAAGATATCAATCATGAGAGGGGACATATACGGTTAGTCCTAGTCCCGAGTACCTGGTATATGGAAGCATTTTAGGCATGAATGGAGAGTCTGAAGGGGAAATGACTCCTAAATCTTGAAGATACGTATGGCCCTCCCGTATCTTGGTTTCACCGCATCAACATCGGATCATGTTTTGTTTTTGTTTTTGTTTTTTTTTTCAAAAATGGAGGCGACATCCTACATCCATCCTAATTCATCGAGCCATTCCCCCCGACCTAGCCGTTTGGTGCTATCCAAGTAAATCTGTGACGCCCCGTGTCGCTCCGGATAACCCTTTTGAGACACGTGTGGATCACCAATGATTATTTTCCGTTAAACTCCCTCATTAATCACTCACTTACGCACCAATCCCGGTGAAATTGACATCCGTAGATCTTATTCGGCCGAAGTGCCCTGCACCTCGCCTGCGACGGCGGTGGAGCAAAGCAAACAATAATTTGGTGAAATCACAACCCGAGACACCTAAAAATTGCCGACTGCTCCAGTCCGTTTTAGCAATAGCAATCAACGGGCATGGCTCGGTCCAGGGTGTTTGCGGCCGGCAAGTAAACCATGTGTTCAGGGACGATATTGCCCTTCTCGGTCATGAATTGCACATTAGATATCAGTGAATAAGATGAACATCAAACTTAGGTATCCTCTCAGGATAGTGAATTTAAATCATGCTCAAGACGCACATGTTCAAGATAATTAACTGTTGATGTTTGGATATTCTAGGTTAGCATCATACCCAGGTAGATACCTACGTTGCTACATGGTAGTATCTCGCGTCCAAGAGTATAAGATCATAGAACAAGCAACATCAAGTGTGATCATTCTGCCTCGTAGTGACAAAGCAACCCATCGTAAGGTTAGTAGGAAACTCTCAGCCAGCCTCATCAGCACCCTGCACATACACAAGGGGGGTCTAACCCATAGCCGCCATATTCTTTTCTCAATGCAGTCATTTTCGACATACCAATACTACGGGACGGGTCTGCCACAAGCCGCGTCGAATGACTTTAAACTTGTCATAATAAATGTCCCATGACCCCGACCGACTAGGTGATCTCTGAGACATACTCGAGCCGCTGCGCGGGAAGAAGCCTTTTTTGAGGAATCCGAGAACAAAAAAAAATCAAGGTCGTTGCCGCAGGTGCTATATTATTTTTGGAGCCCGCCTTTTTGTAAGGGAAGAGTGATTCTTCCTACCCCCTATCCATGTCCATCCCTCCTTAGCCGCTAACAAGTCATCTATCATCTATCTCATGTGACTTATCATATGTGTGTCGCGGCTCCTCTAGGCTCGGCTACATACTTGCACTATCTAGTCATTGAGATCGATAAAAGGATATAGGCTTAGAAGAATATCCCTACCTAGTCCTCATTCCCTGCCCACCTATGTATAGGCCTGTTACTGAAAAATTCCTAACGCAGATATGTGGTAGCTCATCCTACATCCTAACGGCACCGGGTCTCGGCGCCTCGTACTACGATTTAGGTTAGGTGCCTAGGCTATAGGTAAGTATTTTCCAGCTTGCGTCGGCAACCTACAGCGTCTCCAACAGGATCGTGCGATGCGATGAATCGAGCGAGATATGTGTGAGCCTTCGATCTGAGACCCTTGTCCGTGATCGCAGTACCTACATACGTTAGGTACCTATTTACTTACATAAGTGTGTACAATGTATGTAGGTATGTACAAGATATGTAAGCAGTTTTGGTAAATAAAGAATGCTGTCGGTCATGGCAATGGCTTTTTCAGTCGGCTTTCTAATAGGTTCGCGAACGCTTACATGTAGATGCATACCTACCTACCTAGCAACGGGAGAGTCGAAGAGGAAAACCGCCCTGCGTCGGCACATGCCTAGGTATGTATCTCAAGTGACATATTTTTTTTATAAAAGAAAAATCTCCTAAGTGGCTGATACACACCATCTATAGGTACGAAACCGCTGCCTAACTCTGCCTGACCCTGCTTGCTGCGAGCCTCAAGCCCACATGGCTAGAAGAGGAGGAGGGGCATATGGGCATGGGCATGGGCATGGCATGAGAGATCGGATTCGCCTATCTGAGAACAGGGGCATGATGGTTAACCCCAGTCAAAGGAATGTACATACCTACCTCTACTTGCAGGCTCGGGGGAGTGAGTAAGTAAATAACTTTCATTTTCTGCATAAACCATACCTATTCTAATGTTCATTGCCTTCCATACCTGCCTACCTAGGCAGGTAGTCTTTGTCTAACTCAATGATCAGCTCCAAATGTCGGTCAAAGTCCAAAGCTCTATCGATATATGTAGGTTACATGTACAATATGTATGGCTCGATGTGTTCTAGAAGGGGAAGTTAAAAAATAAAACACAGCAATGATGATGCTTATGCTAGGGTTGCTTCCATATAGCCTCACCGCCTGATGCGATGACTGATTTCTGTGGACCTGACTAGGATCTCAGGATGGTGTAAGAGGATTCCAATTCAGTGACCGAACTATTTCTAGAATTGCTACTTGATCCTTCTGACCCTCCCAAAAACCCTTTCAACAAAAGGACTATCGAGTACTAGAAGGTGCTTAATATGACTTCTTATAAGTCATGGCTGATGTAGTGTCATGCAATGACAAGGCTAGGCGGATGTGAGATTATATGTCCAGCAGCCACAGAATGTCGACCGGGCATATGCTATTATAACGTACAATAGGCTCGGTGGCGCTGGTCTAGAGCTGATGGCCGTATAAGAATAAGTAAATAGGTAAGTGTAATCACCCGGAGACCCCCTTTGTCTTGCATTAAGGGAAGAGATTCAAAACGGCTCGATCATCCCTCTTTACTTGTTAAATGGCACCCCTGCCATACCTATTTCAACAAGTCACCGATACCCTATTTCGACCGGATATGCCGAACACCCCATAATGCGAAGACTTTGGATCAGGGGCAACGAAAGGGAGCCCACCTGCTTCCCCGGCGGCAACGATGCCGGGTTACGGGGAATTATTCCACACCTCGGAGTCAATTCCGTCCTTACCAGAAGTATTGAGATCCCCAGTTTGATCGCTCCAGAGGGTTGAAACCCACTTTGTGAGGACGGGTACTATTCGAACTCGCGTAATGCATGTTCCATGACGCAATCTTCACTGTCGCGTACGAAAAGCCGAAAAGCTTCACATATCCAGCCTAGGTATGTACCTAGTAGGGTAAGAATATAGTATAGAACAACGGTAAGGCTACCACTCTACTACTCGTTTTACTGTACATACAAGCAAACTAACCAGAACCCTTAGCGAGAAGGTCACAATACAGAAGATACCAACAGGAAGAATGACCACCCTAGTTTGCCTTAATCCAACCCTTTTCCTGCACCCCCCATTTGCCTCCCCGTATTCTCGGGTCGAACCCCGAGTCCACATGTTCGTATGACAACAGTTCGACGCTGTGTGATGGCGTACGAAGGAGAAAAAGGACAAGAGAAATTCCCAACGCTCTTTTCTCCCCCACCTACCCGTCCTAGCTTACTACTGGCTACTGGTCCTCCTAAGTTTCACGACGTAAGCATCGAGATACCGTATCTGGGGTCAGGCCGGCTCATTACATTCTGGATCTCGCTGGGGTTGAAGACGCGTGAGAAGATGTCGAAGTCGGACAGCGGCGAGCCCGAGCTGCCCGAGCCGCTGGAACTCGAGCTAGACGAAGCTTTAGACTTACCCTTGGAGCTGCTGCTGGAGTGATGCCCGTGGCTATGACTGTGACTGTGGCTATGGCCATGCCCGCCCTTGCTCTTTTTAGCGATGTCGTCGAGAATCAGCTTGGCCGTGTTCTGGCCTTGGTCCTCGAACACAAAGGCGACGTAGTCGAAGCGGCCGCGGATATCCGGGTCGTAGAGGAACACGTCGCGCCAGAGTTCGGCAAGCTCCTGCGGGGGGTTGCGGTGGCCGTTGCCGAGGCCGAAGTCCCCGATGACGACGGTGCGGTGGTCGTGGTACACGCAGATGCGCAGGGCGGCGCGGATCTTGTTGCGCACCATCTCGCGCTCCAGCGGGAATGCATACTTGGCGCCGCCGTGGCTCAGTTTAGGCCAGCGGGCCGCAGGCACCGAGACTACCGGCAGGTCGTGCCACTGGTCTAACTTTTTGTACTGGTCGTGCGGCCCGCGGAACACAACTACGTATGCAGAGTATACGCCTCCTTCCGATGGGATGGGGTAGTTGCTGTCGACCTCAGAACCCGGCCCTGGCGTGTTTAGCGTCGCCGAGAGCGTGCTACGTCTGCATAGGCGCTCCTCATAGCCCACCTAGAAATCGTGTAAGTAGCTAACCTAGACAGAAGGCTGTATTGCGTAAGATCACGAGATTCAAGAAAACCCGGCAGTTAAGAGCCATAAGTCAAACGTAGGTGCCATAATAATGCCTGGTAGGTGAGGTGAGCAAAGAGCAGAAACAAGTAGATAACTCACCACCCCAGTCTCCCAATCCCCTCCAGGTCTCTTATCGTTCGCCGCACATATGAACGGTATCCGGATGTTCACCTTGTTTTTCCAATTAATTGTAAAGTCAACGGGATCCCCTGGGCAAATATCTGTATAACTTGTCAGACAGAACAGCTAGAAGATAGGGCTGGAAGGAGGGGCACCCACAAAACTCGGGAGGGGACGGAGCAAAGCCAGTCATAGAACTTGGAAGATGGATCTGCTCTAACGGCTGCTGGAACAGGTAAGAGTGAGTTGGCCATTGGTGTGCGTAGTCTCTCCTTATGACCGGAATATAGTGTCGCTTCGTCTCTGCGGCAACCTCAGAAGGCTTGGGCTTGGAAGAAGGCATTTCGAGGAGATATATTTGGGGCCACTGGATGATGATTTCTAGCAAGGTGATAAAGAATCTTTTTAAGCGGCAAGCTGGGGCGAAGAAGCAGTCTAGGTTAGGCGGTTGGGACTTAAATATCTTTATAAGATGCCGGATAGGATGCGGCTACTCCGTTCGCCTACATCGAAGGCCCTGAATAGACAGGGACTCATGTCTATTACTTGAGTAGATGGGAGCATCCAAAGTGACGGTAAGAGGCCCGGGAGAGACTCTGTGTAACCAATATAGGATGATTGCTCTTATAGAGTCCACTATGTCCTAGACATTGAGATGAAATGAATTCAGACAATAAGTTGGGAAGGGGGGGGAACTTCTGCTTTCATAATATAAACCCACCAAAGCACATTCGCGGCCGTCTATTGCCTACCTGACTGACTGACTTGGCTTCTGCTCTAGCAAAAGCAGCAGCCTGGGAAGAAAGAATTAGACAATTTGTCTCTGTGACACAGCTCGGCTCCCAGGTAGATGGAATCGTTGTTCCAGTTGAAGATCAGGGCGCACTGCAGATAACCGAAGTTGGACAGATCTGGTACTCCTAGGCGTGCAGCATCGCAAGACCCTTGCGGACCAAACGATTAAACGGATGGTGAACTTATGAGTTCGTCTCACTGCATGTCCTGGAGCCCGAGTTCGGTTGAGACGACTGCGCCCTGGGGCGGGTTGATGATTGGGAATAGTGGCATTGCTACCTAACTACCTACCTACCTTACCTGTCTATCGATACATCTATCTTAGATATCCAGGTATCTATTCTAGTACGTAATCATTAATAGATGCCTACCTAACTACGTACTGAGGTATATAAGTACTGGGTATGCACACGAAGTTTTGGGCATTACAATATATTAATTCCTACTAGGTTAGGCTAGTACTCGTTGGCAAAGGAGATGAGAGATTAACTGCAAGACTGCGAGACATGGCATGGGCACATAGTCTCAACAGGGTGATAGGGGAAACGCAAAGATTTGAGCATTCACTTGGCCTACACGGCAAGAACTCAGACGGGGGATGCGTACGTGATGACGTATACGTGAGTACTATAATCTGATGTACATACCTACCTACATACCTGACCATCTAGGAGGTACTATCGGGCGTTCACATAGAACACTATACGCGCGATATGTGGCTGCTGTTGGCTCTTATTCGTGGGTGGTAGTTAGGTACCTACCCAAGATTAGTAGTTACCTGCTAATCAAGTCTTAAGCGGAATGCTTCGTACAGAGATATTCTTATTCGCGGTGAAGAGAGGTTAGATAGAAGCAGTCAGTTCAATGTAAGAGATATGTATAAGAATCGTGCAAATTTGTGTAAAGGACGCAAAGGGTACTGAGTACAAGCTGCTGATGACTAAGACACTGTCCTGTCTTAGGTCATGTGATTTTCCGTGAACATATCCGCGCGCCGGCTGGATAAACTTCGTACTCCGAAGATTCCAAACCTCTTCGGTTTAAGCCGATGAATTTCCGAAAAGTAGTTACTTAGATACATAGCACTAAGTATGCCCGATTTCAGCGATTTCAATATCAAAACTTGAACAGTCTGAACATTCATTTTTCGGGGTTTCGGGTTTTCAACATTGAACTGAATCATCGGACCCAGTAAAACACAGAATACCCTATGAATCTATGAGATGAATTCTGCCCTACCCCTCCTAAGAGGAGCCTTTCCTAGAAGAAGAGTTCCCTTGAGGCTATTCTCACAAGTATCATCCCGGGCTCGCATCGCTACAGTCCCAACCTCAGTTGCCGGCTTCTTGGATTTTAAGCCGCATGAACCTGTCTCAGATGTGAAGATCGATGGTTTCGTTCGGTCTGTCCGTGCGCAAAAGGAAATTCACTTCGTAACTCTTAGCGATGGCTCTTCTCTTGAACCACTCCAAGCTGTAGTACCTGTTAGCCAGGCCAAAGGGTACGACGTTTAGGTCTGACTTCTAGGTCTGACTCAATTTCCATGCTCCTAAACACCGCTAATTACTTATCTATTCAACAGTGTGACTATCGGCTCTGCTGTCCGACTACATGGGTCTTGGACTCCATCGCGAGGTAGTGGGCAGAGCCACGAACTACAGGTGCAGTCAGCCACGGTCCTGGGACCTTCTGATCCCAAGGTCCGTTGAAAATCTAGTGTTGATGCATCTATATCCATGACTTACCTTTCTATAGACGTTTCCATTACAGAAAAAGTTCCATACGCCAGACTATCTAAGGGGCTTGCCCCATCTTCGGCCAAGGGCGCCATTTAATTCACTTCTTTTACGATTTCGCTCAGAATTAATTGCATCTCTGACTAGGTTCTTTACTGACCGTCAATTCAACCAAACCCACACCCCTATTCTGACCTCATCTGATTGTGAAGGTGCGGGCGAGGTCTTCCATGTGTCAGCTGGTGATCCTAGCCCATCCTCATCCTCATCCCCCTCAACACCCAATACACCCAAGACATCCAATCACTTTTTCCGCCGTCCTGTCTATACAACTGTGTCAGCTCAATTACATTTGGAAGCTTTAGCCCAGGCTCTCGGTAATGTGTGGACACTATCCCCAACCTTCCGTGCAGAGCAAAGTAATACCCCACGTCATCTAAGCGAATTCTACATGTTGGAGGCAGAAATGAGCTTTACCGACGAAATGGATTCGGTGATGGACCTCGTGGAAGACATGTTGAGACATATATGTACTGATTTGGCCGGATCGAGAGTGCAGACTGAGGTTTTCGCGGAGCGGAAGGGCGACAGAGCTACCTATCTTCATACGGCGGAACAGGTCTCTCAGCGTTGGCAGGGTCTCATGCAGAAGAAATGGCCTCGCATTACCTACACTGAAGCCATGAAGCTACTGGAGTCGTCTAAAAAGGAGTTCTCTTTTAGCCCTGTCTGGGGCAATGACCTTACTACTGAACATGAGAGATATATCGCAACCGAGGTGGGCGGTGGTAATAGTCCTGTATTCGTCACAAATTATCCGCGAGACATCAAAGCTTTCTACATGAGAGGAAGCGCAGAAGACCGCAATGCGCCGCCACCCGGCATGACGGTTGATTGCTTCGATCTACTTGTACCCGACTTCTTGGAAATTGCTGGTGGATCTATGCGCGAGCATCGGTTGGAACAGCTTCAAGAGTCTATGCGTGCGCGCGGGATGACCCCGACGATATCTCCAGTCAACGACACCAAGCCAGCAACAGAGCCAACCGAGAACAACTTGGATTGGTATGTCGACCTACGGAGATGGGGCTGTCCTCCCCATGGCGGCTTCGGCCTGGGCTTCGATCGGCTGGTATGCTATCTCACCGGAGTCATGTCCATACAGGACACTCCCGCATTCCCCCGCTGGTACGGCCGATGTGACTGCTGAACACACTATCCGTACTAGCGGTCATGCCGTGCTCGTTAATGCTTACTTCTCTGGGATGTGGAGAGTGTCTTGTGCTACCCTCGCACAGCGCGACGTTGTTCCAGACTTGACTGCCGAACAAGCTTTTGTGGCGTCTGTTGTGTATTGGTTCGGACTTCACGAGGACAGGATCAAAGTCTGAGGCTAGCTTTGACAGGTGTTCCAGATACGACATCGTGTTCTTGTACTGCTTCATTCACACATCGCTGATGTTGAAACGAAGTGAAGGCATACTTTCGAAGCGAACGTTGAGTAGCCCCCTTCACGTCCTCTCCACGTCCCCAGACTGGTGCGTTGTAAAGGCGCGAAGGGCTCAAATGATGATACCAGTCTGCAACAAGAGAACAGATTTGAAGGAGTCACAGACCCGGCAGTTACCAGATTGGAACTGCCTACATAGTGTAAAATAAAAGGCAGGATTGTACGATACGATAGCGTCACCCTTCCGGTACCTCAAGTTTCATCCCGCCTTCACGGTTTAGAGTAATTCTAGTTCTTCCATCCAGTGGCAGTAGGCCGATAAACTAACCTGGCTCACGAGCCTCTCATGGATACCTTTCGAAATTCGGCAGTTGTCACTCAGACTTCCTGCGCTTCCTGCGCTTCCTAGGTACGCTTCTTGCGTCACAAAGCCTTTCACTCTCAATCCCCGATCGGTGAATATTGAAAAGGGCTCCGGGGAGGTACGACATATGAGAGATTTTCCTTGTGGAAGATGCACAAACATGCCTACCGGGTTAAACACCGTCTGCCTACCTACTATAAGCCAGTACTCGGTATTAATTACATCCCTAGCCTGCCAGGCAAGTTAAAAGGCTTAACCTACGTAGTAAATTCTTGTTACATGTAAGATATGCCTCCATCGTGGTGGGTACATGTTGTATTCTTCAGATCAACTAATTATTGGTACGGCCGAAAGGGAGTAGTAGTGGTCTAGTGCTGTTGGGTTTAAAGAAGGAAAGGAGAGCTGATAGGTAGTCTAAGGCTTCAAGCAACCAGGTTTTCAATAGTTACATACAAGCCAAGTGGCTCGTCATGTCTGCCTACCTACCTACTATATACCTAACCTATCTACCTTCCTTAGGTACCTCAGGTAGGTAGGTAGGTAGGTAGGTACATATCCATCTCAAGTGTTCCCGCCAACCCTGACTGGGATGGCGATCGAACCAGATCATTACTCGGCCGTTTCCACGGCCCAGTGTTCGGTTTATTACTACGCAGCTACGCAATAACATCTTTAGCCCCCCTTCCCTCCCCCCCCGTTGTTTCGGCTCGTGAGCTGCACCTACGCTATGCCGGCATGGACAGATTAATGCCATATGATCGCACCATCGAAAAATCTCTGGAGCCATATTGACGTTTCATCTGATGCAAGGAATTTGTCGAAGAGTGGGTTTATGTCCATACAATATTTGGAAGGCGGTAGCGTAGGCCTAGCTTCCAAGGCTTGTCGTCGCGAGATGCAGTTGGCCTCGACCAGCGATGCGGTGTTCCACTGCCGCAATTATCCTAGGTATCCTAGGCTATCCTCATTCTGTTGGTTTCATCGCGATTAGAATGCAGATGCAGGCAGGCAGCCTTAGCCGCTCTGCCAAGAGACAAGGAAGTAGGTGGTAGTTATTTTGGAGGAGGACAACAACAATATTTGAACAACAGCAGCAGCAGCAGCAGCAGCAGCAGCAGCAACCAAATTATTAAGGATATATTTCTTGGGCTGCGGTGTAATTGCCGGCCACACATCAGCACATGTTTAATACCAACCTACCCAATGTACTAGGAATCAAATAAATGAACAACAAACAAACAACAAGAAGAAAAAAGGTTTCGCGGTTCGGCAGATTCTAACCGTCTAACTTCTTTAAAGAGGGGGTTCCCTCCTCTCCCGTCACATCCGCTATCACCGTCTCGTCTAATACGTCGGTAACATAGATATTACGTAGAAGTACCTTCCTACCTATCTACATAGGTTACCTTAGATATTTTGCCAACATGAACATTGGACCTATTACCTACCTACCATGTACATATTTACACTATTATCTCACTTCTTCCTTTCGTGGATACCTGCCTTTTCCTTTGCGGAATTCTGCAACAGTGGGGGGTTGGAGTCGCGACATCAGGTGAAGAAGTACGTTAGAGTTGCTGGATTGGGTAACAAACCCGCCGTCGAGTTTGGCGATTCGTCATCAGCAGCAGAAAAAGGAAGGGATGGATGGATGGATGGATGGATGTTTGTTTCCTGTGAGAAATAACTAAGAAGGAATGAGAATGAAAATGAGAAGAAGAAGGGGGAAACAGCAGCAGCATCAGCAGCTTGTTAATCGGTTGGGTAAAAACAAAGTCTTGTCGAATGAGAGAACCTAACCCACCTACGAATCAATCTCTGTACTCCCGAGATTGACTTTACGTGTGTATCTGGGGTGCAGGAGGAGGATTTCTTGTTTCGGGGTATCTCATCCTTTGGAACAAATAGAAGTAATTCGTTTGAGGATCGAAAGTGCTTAGGTTAGGTACTTAGTTAGGTACTAGGTATAGTAGGGTAGGGAGGTTGCAATGAATCGTTATACCGTTTCCTTCGTCGTACATCTGAAAAAGCTTGGCATTCTTTATTTCCTTGATGCCTCTTACCTACATATGTACCTACATATTCATCCTACATATTCATCCTACATATTCATATGTAATAATTTGATAACTTCGTATACATAATTCAAATGTATCTCCGCATTTTTGACCACCACCCACATCCATGATTTGAGCGGCTAGCAAAGACGGGTTTCACGGGTATATTCCCTCCCTATACTACATGTAGCTACATACTAGGTACTAGGTACAACTTTGAACATTGAAGTTGTATAATACGAAGGTTGTGGCCAAAAGTTTAGACCAAGATATACCTCAGCCCCACAGTTCCTCCACTTTTCTACCACTGTAGGAAATATCATCGCCAACATACCTACTTATTTATAAAGCTTTATAAGTTTATTTAATAAATATTAAATATATTATTACGTTATTTAATTAGTTTATTTAATAATAGAAATTTTTATAATTTTTTTCTTTATTAAATTAATGTAAGTATTTATATAATAATTTAAGGTTATTAATAAGCTTATTTGTTAATTGTTTAAGACTAAAGGCTTTAAATTTATAGCACACTATAGCGTTTAAATATGCTATAAGGTGCTATATTTTTAAGGATTGTCAAGGACTTGACGTTAAATGTATACCTATTATTGGTAGAAGCCCGAAAAAGAGTGGCGCACTGTGGGGCTAAGATATATCTCGGTCTAAACTTTTGGCCACAACCTTCGTACATACATAACTACATATGTACATATAACATTGGACTATCAAAATAGTACATACATCATGTACCTGGTTGGGTTAGTATATGCATATGCATGTATGCAGTAGATATGTACCTAGGTATGCAGATGGGAGGCCCGTACCGTAGAGAGCGATCGCCGGTGGATAATCCTTTATTTCAGCTTTACGATTCGTTATTGTGTACATACATAGTATTTTACTAGCTCTTAAGAAAAGACAGGTTTCTGGGTTTCAATGGATTGTTCGGTCGTTGGTTGTCGTACCCTATACGACGTTTCCACACAAATCAACGGAGATGCGAGCCCTATTAGTTTAGGCTCATGATTTACCTGTACGATGTACGGTTTAGGTTACGTTAGGGGCGTTTTTTGTTCCCGCCGATCTTCTAAGGTTTAGAGTATGCGGAATCCATCTAATAAGCTACCCTAATAAGCTACCTAGTACCCTACCCAGTACATACCCTACCTAACACTACCTACCTAGTTACCTAGTAGGTAAGCTAGGTACCCCATCTATATAAGGTTAAACTTAACTGTAATCATAGTTCTCCAACAGTCAACCAACTGATTGAAGTATCACCGAAGAGGGCCGCGTCAGCCAGCACGATTGATATTCCTCCCTCTTTTTGGTTTATTTTTATTTTTATTTTTTTTGCGTCTCTTTTTTTTGTATACTAAAGTTGCTTCACTGTAATGCGTTGAGGATACTTCATAGGTTTGTTAGGTATTTATTTAACATACGCACATACATCTCTGTAATGTCAAAACGTAGATACTTCTTTACAGTAGTTACTATGATCGTACTTAGTACTTACACTCTGCCGAGCTTCCCTTTTTTTCCTTACGACAAAGCCAAGCATGGATAAGAAACAACCCAAGAATACGCCAAGGAAGCTGACCAACGGCTTAAAGTGTGTGCCCCATTATGCCCCACACTAATCCCCTTTACGCAACACCCTCTTTTGCCATAGTACCAAATCAAGGGGATCCACGCTAAGACGGATAGGCTACAGAGTGGCGCTCATGGACGTTTCTGATTTGATTAAACCCCATGTCTTTGAATTAAGCTTAAGCTGGGCTATCGTTCGAGGTGTGGGTTGCATGTACATACTATGCATGTATGCATGTCTGCATTGTGGGGCCCTCGAAACCTTGGCTTCTTTTTTTTTTTTTTTTTTTTTTGAGACTTGGTCTTTTTGCTTTTTGCTTTTTCTTCTTTTTTTATGTGTGCTAAAACTATGTACCAAGTAAGAGGGAGTAAGATCATTGGTGTACTTAGTAATAATTACTTGGTAATACTTGGTAATAGTTACATACTTACAAGTTACATAAATATCGTCAGTATCGTATTCTTGTTCATTTATTTCCTATCCTTCCGAGACAAACACCTTAAAACTTCTTAATCCCGGCAATCTCCAACTATCAGAGTCGTAGTAACGGCACTAACCCGTGGATGTAAGGTAAGTAAGTTAGGTTTGCAACAAGTACGCCGTAGTAACTAAATCGGATATAATGCTTGAAATAATCTAGACTTCATGACAAGAACATCACGTCATCCGGCTCGACCGTCCTCTCTCTACCTATACATAGTACTTAATAGTCCATATCACCCAACGGGGCTACATCCGTAAC